TGTTTCCGACACACCTTAAATGCCCAAGATCCTCCTGCCTCTCCTTCCCAGTGTTGGCACAGGTCCATGTGGATTTGGGGGGACCTTCCCATCTTGCTCTCCCACCTGTGCTACCAGCTACCTGCCCCCCATTCCTCACATGCTCAGTAGGGTATCCAGCCCATGCCTCCCGCAGAGCCACAGCCCCACCACACCACTGACTGACTCCATCCTGCCCCTCCCTCCCACGGGAATGTCCACAGCGTGCTCAGGTGCATGGTAGAGGGACCGGGGCTGGGTCTGAACCCACACTGCCTCTCCCTGGAGGTCACCTTGTACCCCGTGTCTCTTGGCTCAAAGTTCAGAGGTGATACGAGCCTAATGCCCACGGCCTCCCTGCCGGGGGTTCCCATCTTGGGACAGAATGGCTGCTCTAACCCCAGGCACTGACCCCAACCTTAGGGAGACCCTAGGTTTCTGTCCCCAGCCTGCACCAGTGGCCTTGTTTGACTGGGTGCCTTGGGGTCGGAAGCAGCCCGCACAGACACAGCCACACAGGCAGGGGGCGCTCACCAGCATGGAAAGGCTTCAGAAAGACGGGCCAACGGGGAGGCCCTGGCATGGCAGGGACTGGGCCACCCTGGCACCACGGAGCACAGGGGGCCCAGGGGAGACCTAGCACGCTCACCACCGGACTCCCCACCCAGCCGTGGGGGAGGGGGCTGAGTAGCACCCCTAGTGGCCACACACCCAGGCCAGGCACTCCCCAGCCTCAATACCCACATGTCCCTGATGTGGCCAGGGCCAGGGTGGGTACGGGAGCTGGGGCTGACCACCACCAAGGCAATGGCACCCTTGCACCCTTCCAAGCAGTGTGTGGGTGTCGGTGCGTGTGTTCCAGGGACCAGCGCCTCACCCAGGCCCTGCCCTGGGGGACCAGCCCCACACTGCGGTCCAGGCACCGCCAGGGGCCGAGGTGGGGAGCCAGGAGAGGCACATGATCACCTGTAAGCCATAGGAATGGACGCTCCCCAGTCCTCAAATACAGCAGGACATGGAGAGGAGGGTTGGGGTGATGATGGTGGTGAGGAAGGACAGACTTCTGTTAGGGGAGGTGGGAGGCAGCGAGCAGCACGCGCTGAGCAGCAGTCAAGGGCCTTTACATCCCCCAACAGGGTCCTGGCTCAGAAACCTGTGCCTCACTGCCCCAGTGGCTGGGCTCATCACAGGCAAGGCAGAAGCAGCTCAGTGTGCAGAGAGAAACACGCACACCGCACACGGTCACTCCCATGCTGGAGTACTATGCAGCCAGGAACAGGAAGAGGCTGTGACCTAGGCTACAGCGTAAAGGGAAGCTGAGGCCACTGTGGTCAGTGAGAGAAGACACCAAAGGCCCCGGCGCATCTGGCTCCACTGATAGAAAATGTCCAGAACAGGCGTATCTAAAGACAGGAGGAGAATTCACTGAGGCCAGGTGCTGGGGAGGGGCGATGTGACTGCTCATGGGCACAGGGCTTCCTTTGGGTGACAGCTCTGGAAGTGGGTAATGGTCAGAGCAACACAGAGCAATACAGGTATGGCCAGCGGCAGTGGCTCACACCTGCAATCCCAGCCACTCAGGAGGCTGAGATCCGAGAATCCCAGTTTAGACCAGCCAGGGCAAAAGGTTTACAAGACCCTATCTCAACTAACAGCTGGACACAGGGGTGAGTGCCCATCATCCCAGCAATGAGGAAGCCATAGGAGCTTCCCAAGGAGCTGGCCAAGGAGGGGGTAGGAGGTGGGAATAAGACCTGTCTGAGAAATAACTAAAGCACAAAGGGTTGAAATGTAACTCAGGTGGTAAAGCACCTGCCCCAGCATGTGAGGCCCTGAGCTCAAACTTCAGTACCACCAAAACAAACAAAAAATCTGAACTGTACTTTTTTTTTTTTTTTTTTGGGGGGGGGGGGTCAGTCCTGGGGCTTGAACTCAGGGCCTGGGCGCTGTCCCTGAGCCACTCTGAGCTCAAGGCTAGCGCTCTACCACTTGAGCCACAGCACCACTTGCAGCTTTTTCTGTGTATGTGGTACTGAAGAATCAAACCTAGGGCTTCATGCATGCCAGGCGAGCACTTTACCACTAAGCCAAATGTCCAGCCCCCTGAACTGTAATTGTTTTGGTGTGTGGCCGTGAGATTCAATCTGCCTAAAGCTGTTGGCAAGGAAAATCTAGAAAACAAGTTGAAGACGTGAGGGGAGCAAGGGAAGCTTTGTGGAGGGCGGCAGCTGCTCGTGCAGAGCTGAACCACCAGGTGCTGCTGGGCTGGGGAAGATGCGAGGCTCTCTGGGCTGTAGCCCCACCATGGTACAGTCTGGAAAGGTGCTGACCTTGGTCTCCCAGGCAGACACTGCTGCCAGAGTGATGAGAAGAAGGCCCCTGGCAGAGCCGGGCGCTGGTGGCTCACGCCTGTAATCCTAGCTACTCAGGAGGCTGAGATCTGAGGATCGCGGTTCAAAGCCAGCCCAGGGAAGGAGAGACGGTGAGACTCCTATCTCCAATAAACCACCAGAAAACCAGAAGTGGCGCTGTAGCTCAAGTGGTAGAGCACTCGCCTTGAGCTGAAGAGCTGAGGGACAGCGCCCAGGCCCAGAGTTCAAGCCCCACGACTGACAAAAAAAAAAAAAAGAAGGTCCCTGGCAGCCACAGGGAAGAGCCAAATACTCCCCTTCCGTCCGTCTGTCTGTCCCCAATAGAGGGCCTGATGCATCCTGTCCCTTGTCCCTCAGGTGCACGTGATGGGGAGGGCTACGGGGCACTGGGTGACATCAGTCATTGTGGAGGGCAGGTGGCTGGGTGGGCACCCTTGCCAGCCCTCAGAATGGTCTAGAGCAGCTCCCCTGCTCCTGGGCACTGTGGGTAGCAGGCTGGGTTGTTGGTCGCTGGGCATGCTGAGTCCTACAGCGTGCTGGGCAGTGCCCTGCCTCCACCCACTGCAGGCCAGCAATTCCCCGCTGTGGCAATCACACATGTCCCCAGGCATGGCCTTGGGTGCCCTGAGGGCAGAATTGGCCCAACTCTAGGACAAAGGCCTCACCGGGTGGTATGGTAAAAGAATAAGTCCCTCCATCCCTGAGTCCCCAGCACTGGCCCCAAACACAATGACTTTGTGTTGTGTCCCTCCCCATGACCGACCAACCCACCCTGAAGCCCTGAGGACTGAAAACACACCCGCCAGGAGCCCCGGCACCCTTACCAGCTCCAGACAGTTCTGGTGAGAGATGGATGTGCCAGGAACACCCTCCGGCCCACCAGGAAGACCTGCCAGCCTTTTCCTTTGTCTGTTTTTGAACCCTGACCTCCAGATCCTCCTGCCTCAGCCTCCTGAGGGCTGGGATGACAGGCACATGCCCGGGCATAAGGCTTTTTTTTTTTTTTTCATCTGCTCTGCAGTGGCTGGGTCTCTACACCCAAACAAACCCAGCCCCAGGCAGGGCGGGTCTGACTCCCCGGAGCACAGCAACATGGGGAGACACCGCAAAGGGACAAGCCTCTACGCCAGAGCTGGAAGACTAGAACCCCAACTTGGGAGGGAGAACCAGAGGCATTCCCGCAGCCCCTGCAGCATGGGGCCTGCCCTTTGCCCTCCTTCGCCCACTGCAGGGCCTGGCACACCTGCTTCCCCGCTTCCCCTTCTCAGCCCAGAGAGAAGCAACAGACCAGTATGAACAACATACAGCACCTTAGGTGCGGGTGGGAGGGGGGGGGGGGGGGGGGAACAGGCCACCACCTCCACCAGGAAAACCACACACAATGGACAGAGGTCCTAGGCACAAGTCCTAGGCCCTGTTGGGGGGAGGCATCATCAGACTCCACAAGAGACTAAGTCCTGATTCCAAAAGCATCCTGGCATCTCCCCTTAATTCTTCATTAAGCAAATCACTCTCATTCACTCAGAGCACAGGCAGAAGTTGGGGAGGGGGCTGCGGCCTCACCAGCCAGAGGTATGAGGTCATCACATGAAGGATGGGGGTTTCTGCTTCCAACACAGACAGGTGCCCAGAACCAAGAAAGGAGTTTTAGGTGGAGAAAACCGGAAGCAAATTCATTTCTTAAGCACTGGATTAGGGACAGTGGGGGAGCGGGAGGGAGGGGGTCACCACCGGCACATTTCACATTTTCACATACAGGAGCGCTAAGGTTTGTGTCTGGAATACAGCCAGGATGGAGGTTCCGATCTGAAGGGCAGGGGAGTGGGTACTTCACAGACCCTCTCAGGTTTGGGTGGGTCACGGAACAGATGGAAGAGCTGGATACTGGGGGTGGGGTGGCTGAAGTGGGCTGACATAGCCAGAACAGTGGGGAAGCAGAAATCAGAGGTGCCCAAAGGAATGGGGGGGGAGATACAGATGTTCATTCATTCATATCTTGGGGAGGGTCACGGTGTGACTTTGGGCATCCTGGCCAGGCCAAGTCCATACCCAGGAGTCCCGATGTTTCTGATCTCTGGGACTCAGATGATATTTTCTTGGGGACACTCGGGTCTAGGGGTGCAATGTAAGTGTGGGGGGGGCAGGGTCTGGGCGGGGAGCGTTGGAATTTGGAAGTCCACTTTACAGGGGACTTGACAGACCGGAGAGAGGAGCGACGGGGTGAAGGGCACGGGCCAGCCGGGTCCACACCTTTGGGGGAGGGGAGCGGCCAGAAGGGGTCCCCCGGCTTGTCTTTAGGGAGGGGTGTGACTTTTTTTCTTAAAGGATGCTGGGTGCTGGTAACGGAGGAAGGGGTCTGTGGGGGTGGGGGTTCGGAGGTGAGGGGTTATTTTGGGCCTGACCTGGGGGGGGGATGTTCGAATTCGGGGGGGGGTCAGGGCGAGAGACGCTGAGGTCACCGGGCCCGGCGCAGCCTGGGGGTGCGGGGTGACATCCCGAGGGACCGGCTGCTCCGGGAAGGGGCTGGGCCGGGGGCGGGGGTCCCGGCGCGGCGGCCGGCCGCCGCCTCGGGCCCCGGGGGGCGGGTCCCGCCATCCCCGGCCGCCTCACCTGGCTCGCTCCCGTCGCCCGCTGGCTCCCGCCGGCCCCGCCTCTCCCGGCGCCGCGCCGCACCTGCCTCGGGCTGCCGCAGTTTCACCAGAGCCGGCAGCCGCCACCACTGACGGGATCCCGGGAATCCGCGGTTCCTAATATGGCGGCGCTTCGCTAGTCCGCGGCTTCCCGGCTCCCTCCTTCGGCCGCGCGCGCCCGGACCGCCGAACGAGCGCGTTCCCGAGCGCCGGCCACGCCCCCACGCCGGCACGCTGGGTGCCGCGGCTCGGCTCGGCCACGCCCCCTCGCGCGCCCCAGGCTGCTCCCGCCCCGCCCACTCCCCGCTGGTGCGCCTGCGCGCGTGGAGCATCTCGGGAGGACGTGACGCCTCCGAGGATTCGAATCAATACAGGAAGAGCGGCACCACGCGTTGCCAAGGGCAACCGCGGGCGGAAGGGGGACTGGGGGGGAGGGCGCCGGCTGCGGGAAGAATGGGGAAAACAGCGCTGCGGGTTGGAGGGAGTGGCTCCTATTCACTGGAGGACTGTCGCGTGGAGCTGTACACACACGCACGCACACACACACCCCGCCCGAGGGTGGACCCACAGGGTAGACCCGGACCAGTCACACCGGGTGTGATAAACACCGATGGAATCCACGCCAACCCTGCTGCTGAGCCATTCATTCATTCCCCCCTGCAATCATTCGGCCTCCAAGCGCTCCAGACGCCGCGAGGAACGAGTCAGATTAAAGATCCCTGCTTAAAGATGAGTGGGAAAGTTTGGACAGGGGATGTAATAGGCAGCGGGTTTAAAAAAGAGTCTATGAAAATGGCCTGGGAACCGGTAGCTCACGCCTGTCATCCTAGCGACTCAGGAGGCTGCTCTCTGAGAATCACGGTTTGAAGCCAGGGGCAGCAATTCATTAGCAGAAAGCCAAAAGTGGAGCTGCTCTTCAAGGGGTAGGGGGCTAGCCTTGAACAACAGCAACAATAAAGCTCAGGGACAGCACCCAGGCCCTGAGTTCAAGCCCCAGGACCTCTTAACCCCCCCCCCAAAAAAATTATGTGACTAGATATTCTGGAGGATATGCAAAAATATCCTGCTCACACAAACCATTCAACTTCATTAGCATTTACAGAAATTCAAATTCAAAACACAAGGAGATACTGGCTCAAACCTAGTAGGATGGCTTTGATTCAAAACCAATCAGAATGAACAGAAAAAAAAAACAAGGGTGGGGATGATGAGTGTGGACAAAGATGTGGGGGAAAATACAACTGTCCTACGCAGCTGTAAAACACTGTCGATTTTGAGAAAAACATTCTGGCAGTTCCTCAAAAAGTTAAATATAGAACTACTGTATGACACAGCTGTATTACAGTAGGTATCCACCCGCCTGAGAGAAATAAACACAGACATGCCCAGAAAAATTCCTCCACTGTGCAACTGGCTGAAGGAGTCCAAAAACACAAATAACTCAAACACCCAGTTACAGATGAATGGGTAGAGCTTTGTTCATACAATGGAACTTTATTTCACAATATAAAGGAATGAGGCTCTGATGATAACAGGCCTCAACATAGATGCACCTTGAGGACATTGCTTTCAGAAAGCCAGATGTAAAAGGCTGAGAACTGTAGGAAGCCATTAATGAATCCATTGAGATAGGACTAGGTAGTAGCTACTATCTTGAATGGTGACAATAAAGAATATGTTAGGCTGGTTGCTGGTGGCTCATCTCAGGAGACTGAGATCTGAGGATTGCAGTTCAAAGCCAGCCAGCTGAGGCAGGAAAGTCTGTGAGACTTTAATTTCCAGTTAACCTCCAGAAAACTGGAAGTGGAGTTGTGGCTCAAAGTGATAGACTGCTAGCCTTGAGCAAAAGCTCAGAAACAGTGCTCAGGCCATGAGTTGAAGAGCGCAGGGACAGAGTTCAAGCCCTATGACCGACAATAAATAAGTGAATAAATAAATACTTTGTGAAGTAGGTCTTTCTGATTTTTGTTTTGTTGTTTTGTTTTGCAGTACTGGGAATGGAGCCCAAGGCCCCGCCATGGGGGCCACACACACCCCTTTTTTTTTTTGGTCGTTGGTGGGGCTTGACTTCTGGGCTTGACTGTGATCTCTCAGCATTTCAGCTCCACTTCTGGTTTTCTAGTGGTTTATTGGAGATAAGGATCTCACAGACTTTCCTGCCAGGGCTAGCTTTGAACTGTGATCCTCAGATCTCAGCCTCCTGAGTAGCTAGGATTACAAGCATGAGCTACCCCATTTTTAGATCTGATTTCTCTTCTCCTCAGGCCAGATATCTGACTCAGTAATAGGTTTGTAATGTAACAGTGGGTGCCCTCTACTACAAATCAAGATAACCAATATTGCACATGTGATCTGGACAACTGTTTTAAAACAACAAAACATTAATAAACAACAACAACAAAAAACACCTGCTCTTAGGCATAGTGGCCACACTGTAACCACAGCTGTTCCAGAAGCTGAAGCAGGAGGATCAAGAGTTCTTTTTTTTTTTTTTGGGTCCGGTCATGGGGTCTGAACTCTGGGCCTGGGCGCTGTCCCTCAGCTCTTCAGCTCAAGGCTAGCGCTCTACCACTTGAGCCACAGCGCCACTTCCAGCTTTTTTCTTTTTGCTTATGTGGTGCTGAGGAATCGAACCCAGGGCCTCATGCATGCAAGGCAAGCACTCTACCACTGAGCCATCTTCCCAGCCCGAGGATCAAGAGTTCTAAATCAGTCTGGACTTCACAGAATGTGACCCAGTTTGAAGCTACAATAAATAGAAACAAGAAAAAAAAAATAGAAAACTCACTGGGACCTGTGGCACACACCAGTAATTTTAGCTACTAAGGCGATGGAGATTGGTAGGACTGTCGTTGGAGGCCAGTCTGGGCAAAAAGCGTGAGAGACCTCATCTTAATCAAGAAGCTAGGTATAGCCGGGCGCCGGTGGCTCACGCCTGTAATTCTACCTACTCAGGAGGCTGAGATCTGAGGATCACAGTTCAAAACCAGCCCAGGCAGGAAAGTCTATGAAACTCTTATTTCCAGTAAACCACCAGAAAACCAGAAATGGCACTGTAGCTCAAGTGGTAGAGTGCTCGCCTTGAACTGAAGAGCTGAGGGACAGCGCACAGGCGAGAGTTCAAGGCCCATAACCAACAAAAAAAGAAAAAAAAAAGCTAGGTGTAGTAGCACACATCTATCATCCCAGCTATGTCACGAGTATAAATAGGAGGATCACAGTTCATTCAGGCTGATCTAGGCAAAATGGGAGACCTTAGCTGAAAAAGAACTAAAGCAAAAAGTGCTGGAGATGTGACTCCAATGGAGGAGCACCTGCTTAATAAGAATGAGGTCCTAAGTTCAAAACCCAGTACAGGCAAAACACTTAAATCAGTCATGAGTATGCAAGTCACTAGCTTCATCAGCTCCTGGAAGAAGCAGAAAGGGTGCTTCCTGGAGCTTCTAGGATGTGACACACATCCTAGAATAGGTATAGACAGACCCTGTCTATAGCTCCATTCCAGACTTGGAGCCTTTGAAGCCTCATTGAACGTAGAGGACCCAGGAAAAGCCATGACCCAAGTGCCTGTCATTGGCACCATTTCTCTCCGGCTATCAGTGTCACAGGTCAGCTGGCCACATGCCAAGTTCTCAGACTTTCTCCAGCCTTGGTTTGGTTGTGGCTTCCAGTATCTGCTTCCTGCACCCCTAGGCTTATCTGCTCCCGCAGAGCATCCTGGAGCATGATCCCACCAGACACTCTGCCCTGTGACTTTCAGAGGCTGCACAAGAAAAACTGAAAATATCACCCAAAGCCAGGAACATGGCTGAGTCTCTGGCACTTGGCCAAGGATTGCTACAAAGCTGGTTATCTGCGGTTTGGTTTAACTTTCAAATACCTAAAGAGGCAATGACAAGGAGAAAAGTCAATCAGTCTGGGCCCTAGTGGCTCACATGCCTGCAATCCTAGTTTCTCAGGAGGCTGAGGTCTGAGGGACAAAGTTTAAAGCCAGCTAGGCAGGAAAGTCTGAGAGATGTTTCTCTCCCATAAACTACTTATAAAATGCCAGAAGTGACACTGTGGCTGAAGTGGCAGAGCGTTAGCCTTGAGCACAAAGAGGCTCAGGGACAGCGCCCAGGCCCAGAGTTCAAGCCCATTGACCAACAACAACAACGACAAAAAGAAATGAGGAGCCAGAGGCTGGATGTGCTTTGGTGCCTATGATAATGGAAGGCACACAGGCTGAGTGAATGCATGAATGAATGAATGAAGCATTAAACCAGAAATTAATTTTTTAATTTTTAATTTTTTCTTTTGGCTTGTAGGACCTAGAAGCTGCTCCTGAATTCTTTTACTAAAGGCTAGTGCTCTACCACTATGAGCCACAGTGCCACTTCCGGTTTTCTGGTGGTTAATTGGAGATAAAGAATCCTACAGCTTTTCCTGCCTAGGCTGGCTTTGAACCGTGATCCTCAGATCTCAGCTTCCTGAGTAGCTAGGATTATAGGTGTGAGCTCCTGGTGCCCAGATAGAAACTGATTTTTTTCTAACCAGGGCTGGGAAGGTGGCTCAGTGGTAGGGCGCTTGCCTTGCATGCCTGAGGCCCTGGGTTCCATTCCTCAGCACACATAATCAGAAAGAAAAAAGCCGGAAGTGGCGCTGTGGCTCAAGTGGTAGAGTGCTAGCCTTGAGCTGAAGAGCTGAGGGACAGCACCCAGGCCCAGAGTTCAGGCCTCACGACCAGACCCCCCCCCCAAAAAAAAAGGTTCTAACCAGAGTAGCTAGGATTAGGGGTATGAGCCACTGGTGCCCCACTTTAATTTTTCAATGATACTGGCTGTTAGGTTTTTATTTATTTATTTTTTTGTCGGTCGTGGGGCTTGAACTCTGGGCCTGAGTGCTGTCCCTCAGCTCTTCAGCTCAAGGCAAGCGCTCTACCACTTGAGCTACAGCGCCACTTCCGGTTTTCTGGTGGTTTATTGGAGATAGGAGTCTTACGGTCTCTCCTGCCCGGGCTGGCTTTGAACCACGATCCTCAGATCTCAGCCTCCTGAGTAGCTAGGATTACAGGTGTGAGCCACCAGCGCCTGGTTGCTGTTAGGTTTTTAAAAAGAGGTAGCCGAGTAAGAACAGCACCATGCACGTGGTATTCAGGTAAGGGGTAGGTTTGTTCATCGTTCTGGCTGGCACCAGGGCATCTTGGCCCTCCACGTGGAGGTGGGGAAAGGCCTGGGAAAGAGCTGGGAAAGAGCTGGGAAAGAGCTAGAAAAGAGCTAGAAAAAAGAGCTAGAAAAAGAGAGCTTCTGGACCTGGGCTAGGCCTTATGTAGGGTATGGGCGGAGAAAGGTGTGGCCACATCAAACTCAGATGTGCCCTCGGCGGATGCAGGTGTGACCTCTTCCAGGTGTGCCAGTTGCCTAGGTAACGCAGGTACTGGGTGGAGACTTTGCTGCGAGGAGGGTGGAGTCTGCTCGCCATCCAGGAGCGGACCTTACACTGGGGTTTGACCTCACATCCCCAGCCCTGATGATTCATTTTGTGAAGAAAAAAAAAAAGGCAAGTCCTTCGTGGTTCTGGATAGCTCTTCCTCCAAAGCAAAGTTCCTCTCCCCAACACTTTTCTAGTCTTATTATTTTATTTTTGTCTTATCAAGTCATTACTCAAAGGTCACAATCTCAAAACTAAAAACGGTACCCCCAAGCCACGAGTGTGAACCCCAGAGTGTGAACCCCAGTCCCTTAAAAAAAATAACAGTAAAAAGAAATCATCCCGCTCCTCCTCTACGTACTGACACATCTTCTTTCCCATCCAAAGGACTTCGGCTTACTTATTTCATCTACTTTCTGTCTTCCTCAGGAATGAGACTAGAGGCTTACGAAGGTAAAAGCAGCACCCGGCCGTCTAGTCTTGAGCGCCCACTCATTACTTACGAAGCGAACGAACGAATGAATGAACGACTTCTCATTTTCCTTTTTAAAATCACCCTCCCCGGGGCTTCGCCCAGGCCATTGGCCACGCCCCTCGAGCCTGGCCACGCCCCGGACGCGCTGCGCATGCTCCGTTATGAGGCGCTCCAGCCCTGCGCTCCCACCCTTACCCGGCTCGCATCCGGGCTCCTCAGGAATGGGTCAAACCATTTCCACTTGTACCTGGGGGGGGACCGGAGTGGCTCTGCTTCTCCTTCCGGAGGAAGGGCGGAAGCGACCCTTCTCTCAGGAGGTTTACTGCTCTTCTGATGCCGCGGGGCGTTCTTCTTGTGTCCCCCGTGCGGCCTGTGGCTTCGGGGGCTTCCTTCGCCGACGGAGCTTTTCACCGCTCCCCCCTCCACCCCGTGGCGGCATTGGTGGCGCCCGCCCGGTCACGTGGGCGACAAGATGGCGGCCCCCAGGGCGCGCCGCGAGCGTCTGGGCTGGTGAAGCGTCTGGTGAAGCCCGCCAGCCTGCTTCTCCGAGGCCGTGTGGACGGGTCTGGCGGGCGGGCCGGGGAGGGCCGCCCCGGGGGACATCCGGGGCCCGGCCTCCGGTCAGCGCCTTCTCCACGGCTGCTCCGCCGATCCCTTCGCTGGTGAGCCCTGGGGGGAGGGGACGTCGGGACACCCCCCCCCCCCGCCCCCCGTTTGCAGGTTTGGGGAGGGATCCAGCAGCGAGAGGTCACGTGAGAGGGGTTCTGAGATGCTCGCGTCCTGCGCTGGGTGGGGGGGGCGGCAGTGTGGATTCTGGGGACCCCCCCTCTCCCCCAGGGATCCTGAGTTTCCCCCCTCCCCCAGGGATCCTGAGTTTCCCCCCCTCCCCCAGGGATCCTGAGTTTCCCCCCTCCCCCAGGGATCCTGAGTTTCCCCCCCTCCCCCAGGGATCCTGAGTTTCCCCCCCCTCCCCCAGGGATCCTGAGTTTCCCCCCCTCCCCCAGGGATCCTGAGTTTCTCCCCTCCCCCAGGGATCCTGAGAGTTTCCCCCCTCCCCCAGGGATCCTGAGTTTCTCCCCTCCCCCAGGGATCCTGAGAGTTTCCCCCCTCCCCCAGGGATCCTGAGAGTTTCCCCCCCTCCCCCAGGGATCCTGAGTTTCCCCCCTCCCCCGAGGGATCCTGAGAGTTTCCCCCCCTCCCCCGAGGGATCCTGAGAGTTTCCCCCCTCCCCCAGGGATCCTGAGTTTCCCCCCTCCCCCGAGGGATCCGTTTCGGGGAGCCCCTTTTCTGGGCAGGTTGAAGTCTAGTGATGAGACTCTAGAAGGCGACGGGGTCCCCAGTGGTCAACGGTCCCCTTCTTCCCGGTTGATTCATCCGGTCTGCGTTTTATTCTGTCGTAGTTTGGTCGGTCAGTGGGGCTTGAACTCGGGGCCAGGGTGCTGTCCCTTGAGCTCTTTGAGGGCTCAAGGCTAGCCCCTCTACCCCTTTGAGCCACAGAGCCCCACTGCTGGTGTTTTCAGTGGTTCATTGGAGATAAGGGTCTCATGGACTTTCCCCGCCCGGCCTGGCTTTGAACTCCGATCCTCAGATCTCAGCCTCCTGAGTAACAAGGATTATAGGTGTGAACCATCATCACCCGACCTGTGTCTGCATGCTAGACCTTAACAGGGCAAGCAACCTCCCCCCTTCTCAGTTGGTCGGGGCTGATTTACTGAGCCCCAGGTCCTCACCCTTCTGCCACTGCCCATCCCAAACGGATGTGAAGTGTGAATTTCAGAGCAACAGGTAGCTGGATGTGCTGAGCAGAGAGAGGGATGTCTCCTTGGCTGGCCTTGAACTCAAAAAGTCTTTTTTCCTAGGACTTCCTAGTACTGGGATTACAGGTGACTTTCAATTTAAAGACATTTTTACCCCAGCTCAGGGTTCACTCAAGAACCCCCCACAATCTCTTCACCCTTCTCAATGTTCTGTACCTAGAGACAGTCCTAGCCATAGATCATTCTCTTCTTTCGGGGAGTTTAAGGTACTCTAGGGGCCGGGCGCTGGTGGCTCAAGCCTGTAATCCTAGCTACTCAGGAGGCTGAGATCTTGAGGATCGAGGTTCAAAGCCAGCCCAGGCAGGAAAGTCTGTGAGACTCTGATCTCCAATAAACCACTCAGAAAACTGAAATTGGCACTGTGGCTCAAGTGGTAGAGCGCTAGCCTTAAGCTGAAGAGCTGAAGGACAGGGCCCAGGCCCAGAGTTCAAGCCCCACAACCACCACCAACAACAAAAAAAGATCTCTGGGATGAGAAGCCAGCCGGAGCCTTTCTGACCTGTTTTGAGGGAGGCTCAAGAGCAGGAAATACAGGTTCCCATCTACCCTTAGAGACAGCGCTTTGGATAGAACTAGGAGGTCGGACCTTCCTGCTGGGTTAGCCCTTCCATCTCACACATGCCTGTAGGCTCTGATGAGCTCTTTTCTAAGGTGTAGCACTCCTTTAATTGATGGTCACTGTGCCAAAGCAGCCATCCGTCCCTTGCATCCCTCATTAACCCTACTGACGCCATTAGAGAGGGCCGCAGGCATGCCACAGCCTGCTAGTTACGACTGTGAAGAACCTGCCAGTTCCTCTATTTGTCAAGAAGTTGGAGACACACGCACCATCTTTGAGGCGGGTGTGGTAGCATCCATTTGTAATCTCAGCATTCAGGAGCACTCAGAATAAGACCCTGTCTTAAATAAGGAGATTAAAAAAGGAAAAAACCCTAAAACTTGTCAAGAGCTGGGCTGTTTGGATTGCTATGTGCAGGTTGGTCCTAAGTATGCCTTTGCTTTTGCTACATAGTCCAAGCACGTGTGTCTCAGGGCCATGGTAAGCTTTAAGAGACCTGATGTGTGTAGTAAGTGGTATGGACATGCTAGCTGCTATGGTTGTTAGGGTGTTTTCCCTTAGTGTTGTTGTTTTTTGTTTTTTTGTTTTTTTTAATTTCTCAAGGCTGGTGCTCTACCAGTTGAACCACACCTCTACCTCCTGGCTTGTTGCTGATTAATTGGAGGTAAGAGTCTCACTGACTTTTTTTTCTTGCCTGGGCTGGTTTTGAGCTGCAGTTTTCAGATCTCAGCCTCCTGACTAGGGTTACCACTGATGCCCAGCATTGTTAGGGTTCTTGTTTTTATTGTGGACCTACTGTGTGCACAATCTTGTGCTGAGTGCTGGGAATACAGCAGGGACCAAGATACAGTCCTTGCCTTCAGGGTTTTATTCTAGCCAGGGTTAAGACTAGCCATAAGTACTAATTCAGTAAACATGCAGTACAACGTAGAGGCGGAAGGTGATAATGCAGACTGTGATAGGGAAGGCTTCCCGGAGGAGGTGATGGTTGAGACCCAGGGAAGGTAGCATGTGCAAATGTCCTGGGGCCTTAGCCTCTGCCAGTTTTCCCCTGTATGTCAGCAATGACCTCCGCTGTTATGCTCAATCTCTGGGGCGGCTGAAGGTGAGCTGTCCAGTAGAAGCCATCACTGATACACAGAGAAAGAGCTGCTATCGAGATCGAGGCCCAGAAAAGGGAGGTGACTTTAGGGAAGTTGCACCGCAAGCCGGCAGGTAGGGCTGGGCTCTTAGGCGGGAGACCCTGCTGAGCTTGCCTCTAATCCAGGCTTTCATTTTTCTGCTCTAGATTCTTGCCACCAGATAAGAACCAGGCCGGAGAGAGCCTGTGGGCGGAGGCAGGTGCCATGGTGACCGAGCAGGAGGTGGATTCGATCGGCCAGAGGCTGGTGGACCCCTTGCAGCCCCTGCAGGCCCGCTTCCGGGCACTCTTCACGCTGCGGGGGCTCGGGGGCCCCAGTGCCATCGCCTGGATCAGCCGCGCCTTCAAGGACGAGTCTGCCCTGCTCAAGCACGAGCTGGCCTACTGCCTGGGCCAGATGCAGGACACCCGCGCCATCCCTGTGCTGGTGGACGTGCTGCGAGACACCCGCCAGGAGCCCATGGTGCGCCACGAGGCCGGTGAGGGACACAGGCTCTCCCGTGGACAGCCTGGGGAGGAGGGGCGTCCCAGCTTTCTTAACCACAACTCCCAGCCACCTGTCAGTGAGTGGTGTGGCAGTTTGCCACCAAAACTTTTATGTGTAACCACAGAGATTGCACATCAGGGACTCCTGCTTCTCCCATTTTGTGTAGAGTTGGTGCCTCTTTGTGGGGCCCTAGTTGGCCTGGAACTTGTGATCCTTCTGCTGCCACTTCCCAAGTGTTATGGACCAGAGATCTGTGCCACATCTGGGTGGATTTTGGGGTGTTTTTTTTTTTCTTTAAAATTCACTGTTTCATCTGGGCTCTGATAGCCCATACCTATAATCCAAGACACTCAGGAGGCTGAGATCTGGAGGATTATGGTTTGAGGCCAGCCTGGCTAGAAAAGTCCAAGACACCATCTCCAACTAACTAGCCCAAAACTGAGCTAGATGCATGTTCAAGTGGAAAAGCAGCAGTCACAACAAGCAAGCTGATCAAGTGCAAGGCCCTGAGTTCAAACCCCAGCACAACAGAAAAAAGAAAATTTGTAAAAACCACTGTTCACATTTCCATCAGTAGATGGTGGCCACAGAGATTGCCGATAGCCTTCTGCATCCCCTGACATAAACCAATGTTCACTGCTGACAGATACGAGCGGAGCTGGGCTCTAGTGGCACATGTCTTAATCCCAGCTACTCAGGAGGTTGAGAATGGTAGGATTAGGTAGTTCTAGGCCAGTCCAGTCAGAAAAGTTGATGAGACTCTCTTCTCGACCCATAGCTGCAAGCAATAGAGCATGCATCTATTGCAGATTAATGGGAGGCTAAAATTAGGAGGCTTGCCGTGTCAGGCCAGCCCGCATAGAAAAGTCCGAGGGAGGGAAGCATGCAAACCTGCGAGTAAGCAGGCCATGGCTGAGGCCCTGGCTTGGGTAGGAATCGAGACCCTATCCTAAATATAACCAGTGAGAAACAGGGCTGAAACCATGGCTCAGCAGCATCATGCCAGTCACTAGCAAGTGCAAAAGCCCTGGGTTCAAACCCCACTACCCCCCAAAAAAGAAAAACTTGAGTGTGTGCTACCTGAACAGGCAGAGTTGCTGGGAGGGGTGACAGTTGATTGACAGCCCCAAGGAGGTTCTATTTCCTGACTCACTAACCAACCAGGGTGCTCCGGCTTGTTCTCAGGGGAGGCTCTAGGGGCCATCGGGAACCCGGAAGTCTTGGAACTCTTGAAGCAATATTCCACGGACCCTGTGGTTGAGGTAAGGAGGCCCTGGCCCCACCTCCTCCCTGCCCTTCCCCAGGCTGACCTTGTCCAGCTTTAGAACCATCTCTGGTTGCCAGCGCAACCCCTTGGGCAAGGGCACTCCATGGTGAGCAACCGGCCAGCAAGACTTCAGCAAGATCTGCTGGCCCTAGGGGGCCCTGGGAGCCAGCCCCCCCCCCCCCATCTCCCACCCCACCACCTCACCTCGGCCCCTGGATTTCTTCAAGCTTCCCTGTACCTTTCAGCATGTTGAAATAGTTGTAGGCCTGTGCAACTAGCCGTACCATCTAATTCCAGAACGTTCTCCTCACCTCAGAAAGAATCCCTACCCCCATGAGCAGTTATTTCAGTTCTCCCTCCACTTCCTGTCTCTGGACCCACCCGTCCTGGATGTTTCCTGTCGATGGAGACACACACACACACACACACGCACACGCACACACACACGCACATGTACGCACACACACACATACACGCACACACGCACACGCACACACACACGCACACACACACACATACACACACACACACACGCACACACACACGCGCACGCACGCACACACGCACACACACACACGCACACACGCACACACACGCACACATACACATACATACACGCACACGCACACACACGCGCACACGCACACACACGCACGCACACACACGCGCGCGCGCGCGCCTTTGGCAGCTGCTTCCCTCACTTAGCACAGTGGCTCAGGGTCCCTCCATGTTGGAACTTGGGTCACAGCCAAGACTTGTTCATGGCTGAGAAATACTCCATTGTGTGGCTGACCAGGCTGTGTATCCATTTGTGGGCATTTTTGAGTTGTTTCTACCTTTTTTGGCCCTTATGAGTCAGGGTGCTGCGGGCGTGTGTGTGTGTGTGTGTGTGCGTGCGTGTGCGTGTGTGTGTGCGCGCACGCGTGCGCACGCGTGTATGCACATTCGTACATGAGCGTGCACACATCTTTGTGTTTATTTATCCTCTGCCTTTCCTGTCCGCTTCTCTCGTTCCTGTCCGCTTCTCTCGTTCCTGTCAGTCTCTCCTAGCAACCACAGGCAGGTGGGAAGGCACGGGCCATGCTTAAGTACTTAGGGCCTCCATTGGGCTGGAGGACAAAATCCCAAGTGTAAGGTTTACTAAGTAGGTAGGTTTCGTTAGGTAGCCGATGCAGAGAACAACACCACAACGTATTCAGGCAGGAAAAGAAGTTTATTTACGAACTGCTGCCCCCACTGGTGCTTGGTGGAGAAGTATGGCCAAGGGGGACCCCCCCACGACCCCCCAGGACTAGGCCAGGGATGGGAAGAGGTGTGGCCACACGATCCCCACGTGACCTCGCGGGCCTGGGACCCTCCTACAGTCAGAGGGCTTGTGACCAGGGGCGGCCGCATGTGGCCTAGCAGGAGGGGGAGGTGACTGCTTCCAGGTGTGCCAGTTACCTAGGGAACAGATACTGGGAGGAAACAGCCCAGAGGTAGGGAGGTGTCTGCCCAGGGCCTGCGAGGCTGGGGGCAGACCTTACACTGAGTACCCTCTGCCACCCCCAGACCCTCTCCCCCTCCTCCCCTCCCTCCGCTGCCCACTGCCGCCCGCTGCCCACTGCCGCCCCGCTCTCCACCCCTGCCGCCCGCCTCTCCACCCCTGCCCCCCCCCCCCCCCCCCCGCCTCTCCACCCCTGCCGCCCGCCTCTCCACCCCTGCCGCCCGCCTCTCCCCCCCCCCCCCCCCCCCCGCCTCTCCACCCCTGCCCCCCCGGCTCTCCCCCCCGCCCCCCCGCCTCTCCACCCCTGCCGCCCGCCTCTCCCCCCCGCCCCCCCGCCTCTCCACCCCTGCCCCCCCGCCTCTCCCCCCCGCCCCCCCGCCTCTCCACCCCTGCCGCCCGCCTCTCCCCCCCGCCCCCCCGCCTCTCCCCCCCGCCCCCCCGCCTCTCCACCCCTGCCCCCCCGGCTCTCCCCCCCGCCCCCCCGCCTCCCCCCCCCGCCTCCCCCCCTGCCCCCCCCGGCTCTCCCCCCCGCCTCTCCACCCCTGCCCCCCCCGGCTCTCCCCCCGTCCCCCCGGCTCTCCCCCCCCACCCCCCGCCGCCCCCCCGGCTCCCCCCCGCCCCCCCGGCTCCCCCCCCCGCCCCCCCGGCTCCCCCCCCGCCCCCCAGGTCTCCCCCGCCCCCCGCCTCTCCCCCCCTGCCCCCCCCGCCTCTCCACCCCTGCCCCCCCCCCGGCTCTCCCCCCCGCCCCCCCGGCTCTCCCCCCCGCCCCCCGCCTCTCCCCCCGGCTCTCCCCCCCCCCCCCCGCCTCTCCACCCCTGCCCCCCCGGCTCTCCCCCCGCCCCCCGGCTCTCCCCCCCCCGCCTCCCCCCCCGCCCCCCCCGCCCCCCCGGCTCCCCCCCCGCCCCTCCCGGTCTCCCCCGCCCCCCGCCTCTCCCCCCCTGCCCCCCCCCCCGCCTCTCCCCCCCTGCACGGCGTCCCTCCCCAGGACCTTTGCCCTGGCTGTTTCCCCCCTTCTCCTGGGTTGGGGGGCACCTCCCTGGGGCCCTCCCCTGCCCATCCCTCTCGGGCCGCGTCCACCCCCGGGTCTGCGTGCTCACTCGATGTGCTGCCCGGCCCCTCTTCCCGCAGGTGGCCGAGACGTGCCAGCTGGCCGTGCGGCGGCTGGAGTGGCTGCGGCAGCACCCCGGGGCGCCGGCGGCGGCGGGGCCCTACCTCTCGGTGGACCCCGCGCCCCCCGCGGAGGAGCGGGACGTGGGGCGCCTGCGCGAGGCGCTGCTGGACGAGGCGCGGCCGCTCTTCGACCGCTACCCGCGCCATGTTCGCGCTGCGCAACGCGGGCGGCGAGGAGGCGGCGCTGGCGCTGGCCGAGGGTGAGCGGGGGCCGGGGCGGGGACCGGGGAGCCCGGGGGCGGGAGCCGGGGCGGGGCCCGGGGCGAGGGGGGGCCGGGGCGGGGTCCCACCCATCCGCCCTGACCCCGCGGCTGACCCCGCGCCGGCCGCCCCGCAGGCCTGCGCTGCGGCAGCGCCCTGTTCCGGCACGAGGTGGGCTACGTCCTGGGGCAGCTGCAGCACGAGGCCGCCGTGCCCGGCCTGGCCGCCGCGCTGGCCCGCCGCGCCGAGAGCCCCATGGTGCGGCACGAGTGCGCCGAGGCCCTGGGCGCCATCGCCCGCCCCGCCTGCCTGGCCGCGCTGCGGGCCCACGCGGCCGACCCCGAGCGCGTGGTGCGGGAGAGCTGCGAGGTGGCGCTGGACATGTACGACCACGAGAACGCCGCCGCCTTCCAGTACGCCGACGGCCTGGAGCGCCTGCGCGCGCAGCCCGAGCCGGCCCCGCCCCCGGCCCAGGCCCCGCCCCCGGCCCAGGCCCCGCCCCCGGCCCAGGCCCCGCCCCCAGCTCCGGCCCCTACCAGCAGAGGCCTCTGACCTGGGCCAGGCTGGAAAGGGCCAAGGTAACAGTCTGCCAGCCTCTCACTCCACCCCTGTGGGCAGAGCAGACCACAGGACCCGTCCCAATGCAACATTAAATTATTTTTGCCAAGTGACAGTAACCTCTGTGTGTGAGCATGTGCGCACGCGGGCGTGGGGCTCGTGACCTTCCACCCACTGCCACCTGTGCCCCTGCCTTTCCCCATAACTTCACGGGAAATAGCCAGCTCCCACTGGAGACTCAGAAAGGGGTTCAGTGGTACAGCTAAGAGCACCGGCTGTGGGACTCATCTGTACCCCATAGTCACTGCCTTGCTTGTCCCTGAGTGGGTGGAGGTGCGGCCTGGGGGTCAAGATGATGCCAGCCCCCTGCAAGTCCTGCGGGGATTCCAGCGCCCCATGGAGGGTGACCAAGACCTCAGTTACAGATCCATCTTGCAGCTCTCCCTCCCTGTTCTCTGTACCTGCCCTGTGCTCCTGCTGCAGCCCCTCCCAGAGTAGCAATTGCAGCAACAACACTTAGGTTGAACTGTGTTCCCCAAAGCATATGCTTCATCCTGTTCCTTCCACCCCCCACCCAGTACCTGGGAACAGGACTTCTTGGAAATCAGGGTTTGGAGGTGTTATGGGACAGGAAAAAAAGCTTGGTGTGGTGGTCCAAGGGGAACGAGGCCAGCTGGGTGTCTGATACCCTGTGCAGGAAGGAAATGAAGGAAAGAGAGCTCACACTGGTGGTTCATACCTGTAATCCCAACTACTCAGGAGGCTGAGATCTGAGGATCTTGGTTCAAAGCCAGCCCAGACAATAAAATCTGTGATCTGTGAGATCTTCAATTAACCACCAAGAGAGCCAGAAGATGATTCCAGGGACAGAGCCCCAGGACCAGCAAAAAAAAAAAAAAAGCAGGGGTCAGTGCTGGGATTTGAAATCAGGTCTTTCTGGCCACTGGCTCTACTGCCTCCAGAGGCCCACAGCAGTAACGGAAACCCTGCCATTCCACGTGCTCACTCTGAATGCATCCCATTTTCCTCTTAGAATTTCTCCCACCTGGATCTCCCTCCTCCTTGGCCCTGACTTGCCCAGCCCTCCCTGCGGCCACCAGAGGGCACCCTTGAGCATCACATCCAGTCCCTCTGCCTACAGACAAGGGTCGCACCTCCCTGAGTTAACCTACAGGGTACTGTGACCTAGTCATCCCCTCCCGGCCTCCTCCTTCCTCTTAGCCCCTCCCATGGCCCTGCAACTCACCAGGCTAGGTTCTGCCCTAGGGCCTTGGCTCAGTCTGTGCCCTCTGTCTGGGTGCTTTTCTTCCTGATACTCCCAGCTAGCTTTCTTCCTACCTTTTTTTTTTTTTTTTTCTCCTGGATCTTGAATTCAGGATCTGGGCACTGTCCCTGAGCCTCTTGGTGGTCAAGGCTAGTGCTCTAGCACTTGGGTCACAGCGCCACTTCCAGCTTTTTCTAGGTAGTTTATTGGAGATAAGAGTCTCACAGACTTTCCTGCCCGGGCTGGCTTTGAACCTTGATCCTCAGTTCTCAGCCTCTGATCTGGGATTGCAGGCATGAGCCCTCAGTGCCTGGCTAGCTCCCTACTTGGAATTGGCCTTTCCCCATGACTCCACACGGTTCAAGGTTGTCTCCTGGCTTTTCAACTGGGGCCTCCGCTCTTCGAAGGCAGGCGGTGTGTTCCTAGATCTATTCCAGACTCTGAGACTGCCCAGTCATTGTAAATGCTCAACCAATAGGAGGTGACCAAAATGAATGAAAGGAGGCAGCCATGGGAAAATCTCAAGATGGGGGGACCTTGCATGTGCTAAGGTCCTGTGGTCAAGCCTAGTATAGCTGCAGCCAAGGGAAGGAGGAGGCTGGTGGGCGGAAGTGATTTTCAGTGAGATTAATCCAGGCAGATGGTGGCCAAGGGGGAGCCGACCAATCCTCTTAGCCCAAAGCCCTTTAATACTTCCGTTGTGTCGGTCACCTCCGGCCTTTCCTGCTGCCGGTGATCGCCATGCCTGATGAGGAGGAGGCGGAGGGCTGGAGCCTGGCGCCACCGATGTATGAGGAGTACCGGCCTCCCCCGCTTGACGCCATCCAGCTTCCCCGGTACGTGCTGTACCTGATGATGGCCACGTTCTTGGTGGTGGTAGTGGCTTATGCCATCGTTGGCCACCTCATCAAAGACCTTGCCCACGACCTGGCTGGTGAGCCGCTCCCTGCTGCCAATCTGCCTTGGGCTGGGGTGCCCTGGGGTGTTGGGGTGTCCCCTCCTAGCTAGGGAGGGGATAGGATGGATGGGGGTGGGGAAGGGGGTCCTCAGAAGTTGCCCTTGCACAGATTGGGCCTTTGGTCCGAAGCCGGACCAGGAGGACGCCCCCCGGGAGCTGCGTGCCAGCCTGGCGGGTGAGGATCTGGAAGAGCTAGACCTGCAGCTGGCCCTGGCCTGGCGAGGAGAGGAGGAGGCTGGTGGGGGTGGGGAAGGCGTCCGACCGGAAGGCCCTGCCCTGGATCCCCGCCGCCCCTCCATCACTTTCAAGGAACCGGAAGTACAAAGCTCATTCTGGAGGCTGCACTGAGCCGGGCAGGGAGCTGGGCCGGACCCGGTGCCTGACCAGTCCTGTGCTGCCAGGAGGATGGGGCTCACTCAGTGGACCAAAGGTTTCAATGGATACTTAGGGGCCGGCTGTTCCTGCCACCCCACACCCCATAGCCCCCCGCCACACGGAGCCAAAGCCAATGAGTGACAATCTGTAAACGTTTTAAAAAGAGATTAAAAGAATTACTTGGACCATATTCACTGCAGCTGACACCCTATGTCAAGTTTCTCCAAGCTGGGTGCCATGGCTCACGCCTGTCATCCTAGCTACTCCAGAGGCTGAGATCTGCGGATCACAGTTCAAAGCCAGCCTGGGCACAAAAGGCTAGGGAAACATCTCCAATTAGCCAGCAAAAAGCTGGAAGTGGAGCTGTGGCTCAAGTGGTAGATCGCTAGCCTTGGTCGGAAAAAGCTAAGGGACAGCATCAGGTGCTGAGTTCAAACCCTACCTGGTACCAACACACACACACACACACACACACACACACACCCTTATATTGCTTAAGATTCCATTTAACAGATGGAAACACTGACTTTCCAATCCTGCAACAGTCTCAGAGCCGCAGGACGAGCCACTGACAGCCCATCAGGATGCTCTCCTTTAGCCGCACTGACACTTGAACTCAGAGCCTCAGGCGAGTTTGCCAAGCGCTGTTCTACCACTTGGGGCATGGCCCTTGCCCAGGGTGGCTTACTTTGGAAGGCAGAGGCTCCCACATGGGCCTTGCCCTTGCTCACCCTGCAGTGTGCCCCAATCTCCAAATGACCTCTGACCCCCCTCTCAGCTTTGGAGTGCGTCTTGGAATCCTGATTCCCCAACAAGGCTGATAGCTGCATGGCGGGTTGAATCAAGGCCCGCAGCTTGTCCTGATTCTGCTGAGCGGCATGTGCCCAAGGCCGGAACCCGGAACCCCTGGGTATGCCAGCAGGTGCTTCATAAACACCTGAGCCCTCCTGTCACGGGCCTGTGCCGTGGCGGCCGGGGTGGGGCCTTGCCCCTTTGCCCAGGCAGGGCTCCCTATCTGATCAACGTGAAGGACCAAGGTTAAGGGCAGGACAGGAAGGAAGACGGGGCTCCCCTGGCACCCCGTTCCTCAGCCGCAGTGGGTCATCCAGATGTGGAGACGGTGTGGGGCACCTGGCCTCCGCCCGCCTCTGTGCACACGGGCCGGTGCGGGCGGCAGACGGGGGTCTGTGTCCCGCCTCTGACTCTGAGTGTGCAAGGCTAGCGTTGGCCAGATGTCTGTGTGGGGGGTGGGGCAGAGAAACAGCTAGTGTGTGTAAAATCACTGAGCCCGGCAGAAGCCCCGTGCAAGGCCGCAGAGGGGACCATGCGGGTCGTACGTGTCAGATCACACCTGCGTGCCCACGCAGGGGCAGAGGGGACGTGGGGGACCAGTGCTTTGGTTTGGGGGGGGGAGGAGGAGGAGTGAGAACTAAGTTCATCTCCGTCTGGACCAGGCAGAAGGGACCTCCTGGGCCTTGAGGTTGCTGGTCCCCAGGGCGGAGTGCAGGGAAAGATGACACCCTGAGTTAAAGTTATACCAGGTATAGACTCTGCCCTCCCCATGGGAGCGACATGCACAGGACCCTGGGTCGGCCAAGGGCAGAAGGTGCGGGCAACCAGGGAGGCCCCGCCCCAACCAGGCCACACCCCCGTGGCTGTCCCCGCCCCCATCGGCCCCGCCCCCGCCGTATACAGGCAGGCCAACCTGCGCGAGGCCCCTCCCACCTCAGTTCCGCTGGGCCTCCCCAGGCCCCGCCCCCGCGGTGTCCGGGCCACCCCGCGCCCCGCCCCTTTCCACTCGGGCCCGGCCACGCCCAGGCCACGCCCTCCGCCTCCAGAGCAGCCTTCGCCAGGCCCCGCCCCGAGGTGGCCACGCCCAGGCCACGCCCCCACCGTGTCCAGGCCGGGCCGGGGGCAGCTCTCTGCAGGTGGACGCCGATCTGGACGCTGACTCTCGGGACCGCCATGCGCACCCTGGCGACACTCCTCATCCTAGGCACTCTCCTCCTGTCGCCTGCCGACGCCCAGCAGGGTAGGACTCGGGTCAAGGGGTAGGGTCGGCCTTGAACTGTCCCTCTCATTTCCCATGAGGGGAAACTGAGGCCTTCACACAGCCTCCCGCCCAGGTCGCCTGCTCCCCCATCTCAGGTCGGAGCTCTCCCTCCTCCCAGACCCCCTCCCTTCTCCCTGACTCACAATCCCTGTCTCCTCTACATACCCCCCTCATGGAGCCCCCTGAGCCCCTTCCTCACCCACCACCCCGGTTCTTCCCGAGATCCCCCCCCAGCCTCTCTGAGCCCTAGCCCCCTCCTTCTCTGTAAAACCCCACCCTACCAGGGCCTGGTCCCCCCCTCCTGAACACCCCTGCCCCACTGCCCCTGTCCTCTTCAGTCTCTGAATCCCCTCCCCGCTCCCCCTTTCCCCACAGCCACAGAGCGACGCTTGAAGCCATGGCTCACTGGGCTGGCTGCCGTAGTGGGGTTCCTGTTCATCGTCTTCGTGCTCATGCTGGCCAACCGCTTCTGGTGCTCCAAAACCAGGTGGGGACCCCCCCCCAGACCCCACACTTGTGCCTAAAGCCTCCCCCTCCCCTGCTCCCGGTGCCGGCTCTGTCCAAATGCTGCCCTTGCCTCTCATACCCACTCCCTTCTCCCTTCAGTCTCTGGCTCACCCCATTTACCTGTTCCTCCTTGGACCCCACCCAACCCCAACTCTGCCTGTCCCTGCCCAAGCAGCCAGGGAGCCCCATGCCCTCCTGTGCTTGCTGGGAAACCAAGGCAGACGCTATGCTCACCTCCAGCCCCTCCCCCAGACTCACACCCTGGTCTCCATCTCTGCAGAGCTGGGGATGAAGAGGAGCAGGTTATGAGAGCAGAATCCAGGCAGAACCCAGGTCTGAGG